TTAAAATAGTATTAGTGAGATATGATACCATATTTCCCTCTTTCTCTGCAATTTTATTGAAAAGAATGAAAGAGAAATCAAGGCTTTTTATCTGAAAAGAAGTTGGAAAAGCCATAATGACAGGATAACTTTAGGTGCAATTCTTCAGTGGTTACTTTCTGGCATTAAGAAAATCAGATAGCTCTTCTATATATCTTTTTTAAAAAAATTGACATACTTGTTTCACTTCTTTGACAATTCTGTGGCTTACTGAAAAGATACAGAATAAATACGATGAGTTCTGATTTTAAAACTTTAAACCTATCATCTAAGTGTTCAAGTTACGTTTCTTTAATCATTAAAGATAAATGCAAAAAAGTACATGAAATAAGGTATGTAAAGGAATGGTTTTTGTGTTTTGCATACAAAGATTTACCAATTCTGGAAAAATAAGGGAAAAAAATGAGGGGAAGTGAATCCAGAATTTCCCACATTTGAAGCATACTGTATATACATTGAAAGAAGAAATGGCTAACAGAAATAACCTCAATACTCTAATTTGGGTCTAATACTCAAGATTCTCTTAATGTTTCAAACAGAGACCCTGATGCATCTTGGCAGAAGAATCCAAACATTGTTCTTACATGTTTTGGGCTAAAAATAATCAATTTTACACACTCTGAGTAAGAATGGTGCTTAAAAAGTCCATGATTCTTATTATCTACATTAGCCAATAACTTGACTTTTGTACCCTTCAAAATGCTGCTTAGTAGTCAAGCTGATTTCATGTTTAAATTAATAATGGGAAAGTACATGCCATATTTTAAAAATGGTTTTATGACTTAACTAATAAATCATTTTTTTCTTTTTGTGGAAATTTTAGTCTGAATATTTCGTTCTGTGAAAATTTTAGTCTGACTAAAAATTCAGTATTAGCATTTGTTCTGTTTCCAGACCACAGATTTTGGCATTACTATGAAATGTTATAAGACTTTGGTACTGGCTTTGTACTGAGCTTATTTAGTTGGCTTAAGTGACTGCATTAGTTGTTAACAGTGAAACTTAATTCCTTATCAGGTGAGCTGGGGACTACATCCGGAACTGTTAGGACCTGAGATGCCGCATGCGTGTATTTCAACAAGGAAAGGAAAACCATTTTAGCACACAGCTCTGAATGCAGAAATGATTCCCAATTCAGTTGTTTTGTAGTATTTGGACCTTGTCCATATATCAGTTACTACAAATCTTCCTCCCACATCGTGCCCTCTCCAACTGAAATAAGTAAAGTGTGATTTTATTAGTGTCTAGGTATTTGAATTTGCATATGGCACTCAAAAGCATTTTGCTTTGCATTTGCAACCTTCAGCTTCTTGAAAATTTTCAAATATACTGTGTCTTCTTGTGAAGAATTACATGGAGCATATTTTGTTGTGAATAGTCATTTAAATTATTTACTGGCTTTTTTCAGTTTCCTGGAGAACACTATGGGTACGCGCACAATTTGTCTGGCTTGCCTTGGGAAAATCGTACTGGAATGTGAATCCAAAGCACGGAAATTTGTGAAAGCAGAGTGTTATCCATCCCCAAAGCGTCAAGCCGCCAAATGGTCCCAGTTTCAACAATGGTGCCAGGGTGTTTTTCAGAAAGACAGTTTCTGTTTAAATCCCTGCTTTCTGTCTAGCATCTATAGTTGGTTTCTTTGTCCCAGAGAAAGACAAAGAGCCAGCAGCACCTGAAGCTTTTATCTTTTACGTCCTTTGGAAAGTGACTTGCCATTTCGGTGGCTATTTCTTTATTTTATTGTATTAAATTGCTTATTGACCACAGTTGTAGAAGATTCATATTTTATAAAATACTACATATGTTTTAGGCAAATAATATAGTAGCTTTTATATTAACATGTAAACAAATCTAATAGATCAAAGACTAGGTTTGGGTGAATAGTGTTTATCATTCGTGCACTTATTCATATATAGATACTTTATGAAGTATATACAGGGCAGTTGCTAGGTTTTGTGAAGCAGTATAAAGATGAATCAGACACAGATCTAATCTCATTTCTAATAAAATTATTGAAAAATATAAAAAATACAGCATTATATAGAGAGCTAAATAAAAACCAAAGGGAGAAGGGGTGGTGTCAAAGAGCGAGAGACTAGGAATGATGTAAACAAACATGGCAAAATGTTAACAATTGCTGAGTTTTGGATGATGAGTATAAAGGAGGTCTTTGTACTACTCTTATAACTTTTCTGTGTGTTAGACACTATTTTAAAATAAAAGTTATTGAGTGCTCTGAAAAAGAAAAGTAGCTGAAATATCTAAGGGACTAAGGATTTGTGATGTCTAGAGTCCTCCTCAATTGCACCTCATGTCTCTTTTATGTCCTTATGGTTGCTGGAATCATTTTTAAACTTGGGAGGCACTCGATAAATGTATAAACACAAGTGCTTCTTTTTTTCTTGGAATTACAATTTTCAGGCTGAATTTCTTCAGATAAGACCATAAAACTATTGTAAACTGCATACACAATACACAAGAGAAAATATGCAAGAGACAACTTTGTAAATGGCTATGTGTAATTCTCACCAACTAGAGGGCAGTGGATTTAGAGTGATCTCTTTTACCATCTACTATTAATTTAAAACTCTATCTATCCTCACTCTCAAACTGTAGGAAAATTGTAAGCTGGAGTTTTATCTTTCTCATCTTTGTACATCCAGCAGAGATTGTTCTGTGTAGTTAGTGCTCAGTACATGTTTGTTGACTGGAGTGAATAAAGACAGAATCAAACATTTTGTGCCAAAGATCTTCAAATTGATTCTCTTATTTTGTTTCTTACTCCGAGGTGACACTGATCTTCATGAGGCTGAGTTAGCCAGAGTGTAAAATTTGATCTATATGATTCTTTATGACAGACTTTCTAACTAGAACTGTTATGAGCAAACTATGTTTAGGAAAAGGTGTACACAGTTCATCAAAAGAAAGCAGATTTCAAAGCTGGTGAATATTAATGGTCAGCTAATATACTTGTCATTTGGTTAAATAATATGTTTTAATGTGCCTCTTTAAAATCAATGACATTTGAATAAAAATTTAAAAGGCATCTAAAGAGATGAAGGGCACTTCTGGACTTGGAGAAACCTCTCAGGTTTGATAATAACATTTTGAGTCATCTAAATTCATACTTATTGTCACTTAAGTGAACATCAATGCTGCCACTGGATCTTATACAAATATTCAGATTTTTGTTTTCCTCATTATTCTGAAGGTTATCTCCCTGGTCGCTATGAAAATCAGGTGACAACGATTTCCCGTGATGCTTTAAGGGGTGTCAAACTGTCCATCAAGCTGTCAGCTGACCAATCGTTCCCATGGTTCTTTTAGTCTTCTAGTATGATAAATTGAAAGGCACTATTATCAGTCTGCTGTGAAGGGGAACTGTTTGGGCTTTGATAAGATATCACTACTCCCAGGTGAGAGGCGGCTGACAGCACATCAAGGCAAACAACATGTAGAAACACTGAACAGAGGAGCACAGGTTTACAAACATCTGTCGTCATTATTACTTTTCTTGGGGTTTAAGTTTCCGACTTATCCTTAGATAATTCAAGAACAGATATTTTGCTTTCTAGCTTGCAAATAACAGTTGGTGCTCTTTTCATCTTGGGAGAAGAATCTTAAAATTAAAAACATAATCTGCCTACCTTTGTGATTCATGGTTCATAAGCTTCCCACCTTGTAACCAACAAGTTCTTATTTCTGCTGATGCCATCATTTGCTTTGTAAAAAAAGTATTTGAGAATAAATATATTTCACTGCAACAAATAGTTGGACTGGGGAGCTAAATAATAAGATGAATTACTCATGTGTATGGGTGATTATTAATGTACCATATACATGAAAATGGTGGTTTAAGTGTTGGCATATATTAGTTACTTTATATTTTAGTATTGATGATAAGGTTAACAAGTCCAGTATTTCATGAGAAATAAGGCTTGTGGCTTATTATCAGCTTCACTTTCTAGTTGTTTTGAATTATGTTAGTATAAATCTAAAGTTTTAAATTTACATACAAGACATGAAAAGAGGGGAAGACATTGTCCTTGATGAGTCAACATTATAGTCAGAATTGAGATACACCTATTTGTAAAGGCAGGGGAGGGTGTGAGGAGAAGGCTTTCTGAAGAAATCTTTCTGAGAAGTTTAAGTATTTTATTAGAGAAACAGTTTTATATTTAGGATTTAGTCTTGGACTTAAATATCTAAACAGGTGTCAATAGAAACTTAAGTATTAAAAGCTGGATACTTGAATCCTTACTATATGTAAATATAATTTTATTACTTAGAAGTTGCTAGATTTCTTTTTTGTGATTTGTCCTTTTTCTTTTCCTGTTACTTTGATGACTTGTGATGACAGGTTTTCTATGTGTTCTGTGCCCTTATATACTGTCATTATCTGAACACCTGAACACACCATATTGGAGATTTCTCAGGGAAAATAATCTGTTATTATTTATTGTGGTTTTAGCAAAATAAAAGTACTGTAGTTGGTTGCTAACATCACCACCTTGTGTACAAATATTTTTTTGCATGCAGTTTTCTAATGTCATTAGGCAGTATTGTAATTTCATTACAGGGTAATACAGCACTTCCATTGCAGACAACATTTAAATAATTTTGTAATTCAAAATCTGACAAAATAAAGTATGGTTTATTTTTTAGTCCTCTGTAATTATTTAACCACCTCATATTCATCTATCCTCATATAAGAATCAAAAATGCTCTAGAGCCCTCAAGAACTGAGAGTTTGTCAAAATACTTTCTAAAAACAACAGCCAAGGAATTCAGAGTAAGAAGGAAAATAAAAAATTAAATGTCCTGAATATTCTTAATAATAACAATATTATATGTAGCCAGTGCCTACAGTATCTGATTGATAAAGTCTAAGAAATTTTTTTCCCTAATTGTTTTTAGCTCACCCAAGTGGGCTAATATTGGAAATTAATACTTACTTGAAAGTATCATTTTGATCTCTATTCAAAGATGAGGAGAACCTCTTGATTAAGTTCTGAATATCAAACTTCTTTTTCTAGTGGCTTCTGTCATGTCAGAATCCCACAGCAAGCTTTATAATTTTCAATAGTTCTTGGAGATCAATGAAGTTAAGTTGACTGGGCTCCATTACTTTTCCAAAAGGACATAATAAAGAAGGTCTAATGAAGGAGGTAGTAGCTAGTGGGGAAAAGACCAGAATATTCAGTAAATTCACTGTAGGTTCGAAATGAAACATACAAACATGCTTCCTATAACTCTGTCACAGTAAAAATTCTAACCCATTTCTAGGAGAAAACAATTACACATTTGGATTTTGTGTTACTTTCTTTTATAGTTTCTCAGTCTTTGTCTCTCTGTGTAAGTGAACTTACATTAAGCTTCATTACCTCACATAATACCTAATAAGAACTATTACAAGTTGTTGAAAGTAGCATCCAATGCTTCTTTCACTTCTAGAATTTTCTTACATAAGTTTTGAGTATATGGTAAGAACTTAAAAATGTTCCTAAAGATTCAACAACACAGCAATCCAAATTGTGTGTGTGTTGACCATGAGAGATTTGAGTATTTTCAAATGGAAATTCATTTGCTAAGCCTAAGAGACTCGCTATATTGACTAAGGATCAGTTAGTTCAGTTTTCTTCTAGTTTTGACCTTAATAGCCTCTTCTCACAAAATATTTAGATAATCTTGGAAAGGTAGGTAACTTTGACCAAATGAATTTGAGGGTATTTTTCTGATAAACTCAGCAGCAAACTCACAAAGTAAGGTTAGATTTCAGTCCCTCTTACTATAAAAATTTCTTTTCAAGTCCTTTAGCTCCAGTTTCTAACTAATCACACATAGAAACATTATTAAAAGGAAATGGATTGTCTCAAGATTATTTCTTGTGATTTTTTTCCATGCTACATTAATATTAACAGTATATTCATAGATTATCTCGTGGTTTCCAAAGTACAAAAATGATTTGATTCCTTCTGTGTCAACCTCAATACTATGAGGTTGGTAGGGAAGGTATCCAGTTTCACAGATGAGTGAATTGAGGATCAGAGGCATGCCAGGGACATGCTCATGATCCTATACAGTTGTTAGTAGCAGAGCCAGTAAAGATTTGGGTTTTCTGATTCTTAGTTCAATATTATGTCCTCCACTCTTACACAGCATCTTCTTTGGGGACAAGCTTAGCACTTTTAAAGTGCAGACATTAGGAGTGAAGACCATTTTGGGAGACATTTTCCCCATGTTTGGTGGAAGTCTAACCATGTAGGATTCTATGCTGGGAAGTAACCCAGGTACCAGGCTGCCAAATACATGAGACGAGTTACCCTCACCTCTTACTTAAACCTTAAGTTCTTAACTTAGAATCAAATACAGAGTAACTGTGGTAGACTGTTTTATTTAGTTCTGACAACAAACAAATGTGTATAAACTTAAATGTATGGTACATGTGTAGAACTTGTGAGATACCTAGTGATTTTTAAAAAAGCACAAAATAAAATTTTTTGAAATATACCTAAAGGGAATAAAAACCTACAGACACTCTTTCATGGATATTAGATGACATCAGGCTTCCCTCCTAGTGTTAGTTACTTAATATCAAACATTTGTTTCAAGTGCCTGATGTTTAAAAGAGTCCAACCCTTAATGATATTTAAAGGGAGGAGATGAACTTGCAAAAGCTTCAGAATGTTTGGTGGATGTTTTCCCTTTATGTTACACCTACTTATGTCAAGCAATGTGAATTGAATAAAGCTGATAAAAGTCTAACATAAAACATTCATAAAATATTCATCTTTTTGACTGGTGTCTTGCCAATGGGTTTCATCCCTGGGCAAATTCACTCTGGATCTGGTGAGACCTAGGAATGGCAATGGAATGTTCATGGGGTAAATGGGTTTATCACCTAGCTTGTTCTCCTGGCGATAGGTCAAGTACTAGAATTATGTCTGCATCCAACAGTCTGCAGGTCTGTAATCTTGCTTCATCTCTGCCTCTGCACAGAGCACTGGGCAGAGAGAGCTCTTTATATAGTGATGTGGTGTGTGGAAGCAGAAGCCTAGCAGCATGCCAATTACATCATCAAGTAGTTTAGGTTCAGGTGAGGATCCTGGGCATAGGAACCTTCACTTTATCCACACTCCACCCCTTCAGGATTCTCGCCTCACAATCTATATGCTCTCAATTGTCTGCAATGGTCCCTGTGCAAGAAAGCTGGAGCATTGTAACCAGATGCCACTACAGCAATAAAAGAAAACAACAGCATAGAGATAATAACAAAAATTAAGATAAAACAAAATTTCTAATAATCCTCAAGCCTGAGAGGGTAATTTCAGCTATATTCAAAATCAGTTCTACTCAGATGAGTTCGTGACTCACACTTAGTAGTGGTATGGATAGGGAGCTCCATGCACCCCAGCAAGTAGCAGTTGTATTTTTTTTTTTCGCTAGAGTGTGTGCCCAATCACAACAACCTTAAAGGCAATAAGACACATGTCTTAATGGTACCAACACAGGCAAATCTTGTCCATCAGGTAGGATTAATTCAAGAGAGTGGTCCTGTGATAGGACTGTAGCGGGAACGGGGTTCCGTCAGGTCTGTTATACCATACCTTTACTCCTCTCCCTCTGGGAGTTACTGAGGGGTCTATATATAGTGCTACTGGAGGTGCATGCACTGGCTATAATGATGAAACAAAACTCCCTGGTAAGATGCTCCTACCTTCTGGCCACTCAAGATATACTACCATGATCTTTGAGGGCTGCTCTGCTGTTACTCCAAGAATACACAGGAGGTCAGCTTCCAGGCCTTGTTCCCAAGGTGCCAGGAGGGCCAGCCATTGTAGGTCCCTGTGTTGAAATGTCCAAGGCCATGCCCACTTAAGGAGTCTCCAGGGTTTAGTGCAGTAGGTGCTGGCAGCAAGATATTATTCTGGTGGCCAAACCTTGGCTTCAATGATTCTTCCTTGGTTTGTACTTGCAGTTGTATAGGGGAGGTAGCAATATGCGTTAGCATGTCTGTGGGGCTCAGGGCTCCCTTTCGGGATTTCTCATTCAAATGTCATAGCACTGTCCATAAGCAGACTGACCATCCCCACAGACTTTTGGTGTCTGATGTGCATTTTGTAATTGCTACCTCAAGGCAGGCTGCACTGTCAGAAAAGCCAGCTTTTCCACCTCTGATCCATACAGAACAATTCCATCCACTCCTAAGTCCCATAGATGCAGGAGCCAAACTGATATTGACTCCGAGGGCTTTTGTCAAAACCGGGAGCCCAAATCCACCAGCTCAGCCTGAGTACAGGGGCAGACCATAGAGTGCTCCGTGACCTGGGGAGGGGGCTGCTCCTCTCCTTGGGGAACCCTCAGTTGCTGTGTCTTTATTTTCTTTACAACCACTGGCGTGCTTTTAATAGAGGAGGGGTTGGTGCCTCCAGCATCACCCCTTCATCCTTCCCTGCCTCCTCCACCATCTCCCATGCTGATGGCACCTTTCTCTCCCCTCTTCCGAGTGCCTCCTCTGCTATATCCTTTACCTTTTCTACAGTGCCTTGCAGCAATGCTAGCTCAGTCTTCAATAGCTCTCTTACCTTCACCTCAATGCCTCGCAGCTGGCATTCTCATGCCACCTCTGCCTGTGCTTCCCTCAGGAGTATGTCCTTTTCCTCCATGGCCTTTGCTTCCTTCAGAGCACTTGGCAGCGCTGCTGTCTCATTCTGTAAGGAATCTTGCACCTCCTCCACTGCACCTTGCAGCTGATGTTCTCGCACTGCCTCTTCTTGTGTTTTTTGCAGGGGTCCGTCCTTTTCCTTCACGGCCTTTACCTCTTCTATAGTACCTCCTAGTGATGCCATTTCAGTCACCAACAAATTTTTTCCTCTCAACAGCACCTCACAGCTGGCCATCTTGTGCTGCCTCCTCTCGTATCAATCAATGCCATTTCATTCTTCAATGAATTCACAGCAGTTTGCAGCTCATGTTCTTGTGCTGCCATTTCTTGTGTCTCTTTCAGAAGCCTATTCTTCTCATTGTAGACTTTTTTAATACTGTGAGAAGCAGCCAACCCACAGTCCCCACTGCCTCATGAGCACTCTGATTTTCCAAAGACCTACTTACTATAACAGGGGCCACCCCTACTGCCTCAGGTGTCACCTCCACCTGCCTCCAGTCCTGGGATGGGGACCAGCCCTCTAGGAGGCAAGCCAGCTCAGACAACATACCCACTGGGGGACAATTGACTGTCTCCCCATTCACAGGGGCAGCCCTCTGAAGCACCCCTTCCATAAGGGCAGCCTGTTCTTTTCCTTGGTCAACAATGAATCCTGCCAACAGCAGCAATGCTAGCTCAGTCTTCAATAGCTCTCTTACCTTCACCTCAATGCCTCGCAGCTGGCATTCTCATGCCACCTCTGCCTGTGCTTCCCTCAGGAGTATGTCCTTTTCCTCCATGGCCTTTGCTTCCTTCAGAGCACTTGGCAGCGCTGCTGTCTCATTCTGTAAGGAATCTTGCACCTCCTCCACTGCACCTTGCAGCTGATGTTCTCGCACTGCCTCTTCTTGTGTTTTTTGCAGGGGTCCGTCCTTTTCCTTCACGGCCTTTACCTCTTCTATAGTACCTCCTAGTGATGCCATTTCAGTCACCAACAAATTTTTTCCTCTCAACAGCACCTCACAGCTGGCCATCTTGTGCTGCCTCCTCTCGTATCAATCAATGCCATTTCATTCTTCAATGAATTCACAGCAGTTTGCAGCTCATGTTCTTGTGCTGCCATTTCTTGTGTCTCTTTCAGAAGCCTATTCTTCTCATTGTAGACTTTTTTAATACTGTGAGAAGCAGCCAACCCACAGTCCCCACTGCCTCATGAGCACTCTGATTTTCCAAAGACCTACTTACTATAACAGGGGCCACCCCTACTGCCTCAGGTGTCACCTCCACCTGCCTCCAGTCCTGGGATGGGGACCAGCCCTCTAGGAGGCAAGCCAGCTCAGACAACATACCCACTGGGGGACAATTGACTGTCTCCCCATTCACAGGGGCAGCCCTCTGAAGCACCCCTTCCATAAGGGCAGCCTGTTCTTTTCCTTGGTCAACAATGAATCCTGCCAACAGCACCAATTGTCTTGCCAATGGGTTTCAGCCCCAGGCAAGTTCACATGGATTCAGTGAGACCGAGGAATGA